TTTCATGAATATGTGCTGCTTAGTTTAGTATAACATGACTTAAAGATTTCAAGTTACTGAAAAAGATTTCTGAAACTATGACAGGTTCATTTGTAAACTTTTATCCCATTTACATACACCCGATTTGCTCATTCTTAGTAATCATGCTGAATTACTCTACACAAAACTACAGGGACCATAGGGCTGGACCGTAGGGCCGGCCCGTGGCTCATTTGGGAGAGTGTGGTACTGACAACACCAAGTCAAGGGTTAAGATCCCCTTACCAGTCACCTTTAAAAAAACAACAAAACTACAGGGACCCAGCTGGTTAGTTCAGTAGGTTAGAGCGCAGTGTTGTAACACAACGGTCAAGGATTTGGATCCTCGTACCGGCCAGCCACCAAAAAGAAAAAAAAAAAAAAAAAAAGTAAGAATTTCTAGTGCTTTTCCTTTACAGATGTAAGCTTTTACAAAGAGTTACAGAACAGCCAGCTAAATACCAGAAGGGCGTATTTTGGAGACCAATTTAGTTGAATAGATGGTCTTCTCAGTTTAGCTTGTTTCTTAGCTAGACTCCTGACTCAGGGGTGAAGCCCACTAAGGAAAAGGGCACAGAAGGCATTTCTGGGCCTGGGTAGTTCTGAAAAGGACGTGAAAGAAAGTGAGCCGAGATGCCAGGTACCGTTCACGCTTTATTAAAGAAAGAAATCTGCTGGGCTGTGTTCAAGAGTGGCAGGCAGCCCAGGACTGCCCTGAAAAGGGGACAGCACCTGGTGAGGGGGTGGTAGAGCTTGTATAGTGCACCAAGGGCTGGCTGATCCCATCAAGGAGGGTCATTATGCTAATGTGGATCGGGGTGGAGAACTGCATCCTTGGAGAACTGCATCCTTGCAGAAGCAAAAGGGGTCTCGTTGTTTAAGTCAGGAGGGTACTTGTAAAGGGAAGGGCGAGGAGCGGGGAGGGGGTGGGCTGAGCCATTTTGTACTTGGGCTTGTCTAAAGTGGCGCTCGTTATGCTACAGATCTGTTAGGGTGCAGCTGCTTGACCTGAGGGCCTGTTGAGCTTTGGAAGCAGTGTAGCTTTCTTTTCCCCTTTATGGTGGGATGGTAACCAACCAAGGTTAGCAGATTAGGTCTTTCTTATTAGTTAGTCACTTAAACTTTTCGTTTGCCTTTTGTAACGGTCTTTTACAAAAGGCAATAAAATTTTAAAAAAATCCTTTCAGAAGCTTCTGCACATGAATGCGTGTCCCTGGATGGGCCTAATTTTAGAGCCCTTGTTTTTTTTTTTTGAGACCGGCAGCACCACGCTCAGCAAGTTAGCGCACCGGTCCTCCCCATATAGGACTCCCAGCGCTGCACTCTCCCAAGTTCGCCACGGGCTCGGCCCTAGAGCCCTTGTTTTCAAATGCACTTCTTAAAGTCTGGAACAGTTTGCATCATGGCCATTATAATTCTAAATTAGGTTTAGCAAGATTTTGCCATTTCTGTAAGTATTTGCAACTTCTGGGCTTAGTACTCATACATGTGCAAGGCCAGTGTACTGGGATGCAGAGTACTCAGATCTTTAGAGATTAAAGATTCCAGGGCCGGCCCATGGCTCACTTGGGAGAGCGTGGTGCTGACAACACCAAGTCAAGGGTCAAGATCCCCTTACGGGTCATCTTAAAAAAAAGAAAAAAGAAATTAAAGATTCCATTGTTGAGTCAGATCTTCATTCTCTCTTAGCCAAGACAAAAGCCTGAGACGGAAATGCTGTGGGGTTGGGTCATGTAGCTCCTTCATGGTATACCTTGTTTTTTTGATTAACCTGTTCCACATCCAACCTGTTCTCTCATGGGAGTCTTATTTTTTGGTGGTGGTGGGTCACTTTCATCACACACAAGTGCCCAACCTGTACCCACCAGTCAGCCTATGGCTTTGACTCTGAGATCCCTGTGACCAACCTAGCCAGTGATTTTCCGGTTTCTGTCTGACCCAGTCAGACATCTGAGGTCTCCCTTACCTAAGCACGCAAGAAAAAGAAACAGAGAGGGTAGGACCCACATACCAACGAATTCTGAAAGTCAGAGTTTGTGACCTCTGCAGTAATAACCATTCCCTGCAGCCACCGCTGGCAGTTTCCCTTAAGCCCCCAGACCTGGCCCCCGCAAAGCAAACCGTGAGGTCATGCACTCTCCCCCCAGAAACTAATGCCACATTCAGAAGCCAGTAAAATGGGGCTTGGTGCAAAAAGAGGGGCGTCTGGCCTGAGAGGAACTCACTTATAACGCTCGGGGCTCCATGAGGCAGACAGGGCCTCAAAAGGGGTCGCATGCGTTCCTCACCCGGTCTTGAGGGTCATTAGCAGTGTCCTTCAGCAGGTCCCTTCGTGGTCACCAGAGACTGTCAAAAGACAAAATCACAACAAACTTAAAGATCTGAATTTGTGGTTCTAGAATCGGGCAGCACTTCACTTTATAAATCAGGATGAGTGTTCTTTTTTTTTTTTTAAAAGGTGACCGGTAAGGGGATCTTAACCCTTGACTTGGTGTTGTCAGCACCACGCTCAGCCAGCGAGCAAACCGGCCATCCCTATATAGGATCCGAACCCGTGGCCTTGGTGTTATCAGCACCACACTCTCCCGAGTGAGCCATGGGCCGGCCCAGGATGAGTGTTCTGATGAGCTGAGCAGAGGAGGTTGGTTTTACAGGCAGGAAAGGGCTGAGAAAAGCAGAAACAGAACAGAAAGCGGATTGGCTGTGTCAAAGTTACTTTCCTTGTAAAGGTCCAAGCAGAGGGGACTTCCTGATCATGCCCCCAAACTGGCTTGTTTTATCTCTCTCCCTCTCCTGATATCTCGGGAGGTCAGATAAGCAACTTAGTTTCGGCTTGGGGGCATGGAACCTTAGCGGGAGGGCCTCCATTGTGGTTTGATGTGTTGGGCACCGTGCTGGAGCCCAGTCCAGACCAGTGACCTCCTGTAAGTCTTATTTAATGGGCAGAGAGGACAGTCCTGAGGGTCAGGAGCTCGGGGGAACCCTGCCCACCTCCCTGGCTTCTTCCTCCGTGGTGCAGATTAAAGGAGATGCTTGGGGGTGGGGGCACGGGCTCTACACCTCCCCACCCTGAGGAATGGCCTCCACTGGCCAGAGCTTCAGCAGAGCAGGGCCTGGGCCACTCTTGGCCCTTCTTGCCCCATCTGGACACTTCCTGCTGCCCCCGGGCAGGCCCTTTGACCTTCATCTTCTGGTTTAAGCTCCTTGCTCTGGGCCTGCCAGGCAGCAGGAGGCGGGGGGGGAGGGAGGGGGACAGCCCCTGCATGGATGATAGGGCTTGGGACCTAGAAGTGCTCCTCGTGGGACCCCCTGAGGCTCAGTGGGGGGAGGACCCTGTTCTTCCGCAGGGGCTGTGACCTCCTAGCATCTGTGTCTGGCTCCCACAGCCCCTGGGTCTCTGCCCACCCACCTGGGCACTGCCAGGCTCAGACTGCAGAGGAAAGAGAAAGGCTCAGGACGGCCTCGCTATTCGGCCCGGGGGTGTGGGGAGGGAAACTGAGGCCCAGTCCTGTCCACAGGCTGCCCACCCACAGCTGAGGCCCTACTGTATGGCATCCTGCAGCTGCAGAAGAAGATCAAGCGGGAGCAGAGGCTCAGCATCTGGTACCGCAGGTAGTGCTGCCGCCAGAACTGCCCCTACCTTGTCCTCCTGTGAGATCGCCAATAAACCTGCCCTCGGGCCCTGCTGCCTGCCCAGTGTGCCGTGTGGGTGGGACAAGCATGGGAGTGGACAGGGGACTGCAAACCGCCCAGTGTGCTACCCTTTGGGCAAATGGGGCTGGGGTGGCAGGTGGAGTGGAGCCACAGGGCAGGGGTGGACCTAGCATGCTGTGCCTGCTAAGCAGGGTCCCTCTGGGCCAGGTGGAGTCTTCTCTTAACTCTGTTTTGTAGATGAAGTCACTGAGGCCTTTGAGGTAAACGTCCTGCCCCAAAGTGGGGTGGGCCCACACTGACCCCTTCTGGGAAGGTCTGGGCTTTGGGAGCAGGAAGCTAGGGGCCCTTGACTCAGTCTCTCGGTCCCCACAGTAGGCCGAGTAAATCTGGTCCTCCTCACCCACATGTGAGCCTGCACTGGGTTTGGGTGGTGGCCTTTGGTCTGCTGTGTGGGCTTATGCAGGTTGCTACCCCATTCTGGGCCCATTTCCAAGCAGTGGTGTCTTGTTCCCTTCAAAACCAAAAGGCTTCAGGGGTAAGGGCTGAAGAGAAAACTACATCCTTTGCCAGCTGCCCCTTAGGCTCAGACACCAGGCACAGCACCAGGGCCTCAAGTGGCCCAGAGAAGCCCCTTCAATGACCATCTACACCCAGGGCTCTGGGGAGACCCCTGGCCCTGCCTTCTCCCAGTCCGATGCCCTTGGGCAAGTCCTTTCACCCTGTGGAGTCTGTGTCCTCATCAAGGTAGTGTATTCATTCAACAAACTCGTTCATCTCCTTTTCTGTGCCAATGCTGCCAGTGCTGAAGACCTGATTCCCAAATTCTTAGGGACGGTTCTGAGCACTGGCAGTTATGACTGGCCAGACCTGAGATGGGGGACACCCAGGACACAGTGCGGGGGTAACAGGTGCCTGCCCCAGCCCGAGGAGGACAGCTTCTAGGACAAGACGCTGCTGACGTGGAACAGCGTTCAGCAGAGGGAAGGGCCCAGCAGCACTAGGGTGTGGGCTGCACCGAGGACTGATCCAAGTGGATGGGTCCGAGAGCTGCTTGGGAATGAGGCAGACAGGACCAGCCAGGCTCAGGATGGACAGGAGCCAGATATCCCTGGAGATGGCGGGGGCGGGGCTGCCCTGCACTGGGCAGAGAAGAAACAAGACACTGGAGCATGAGAGACTGGGGGTGGGGGACTGGAGTGTGGGCTGGGGGCAGGAGGAGGGGCCAGTGGGCCCGTTCCCCCCCACCCTGGGCTGATGGACTGGTCATGTCTGCCACGAGCAGGACAGTAGTGGTCACAGAAATTCAGACACTTTGCAGGGCAATAGCCCATCTTCTCCCCAGGTCCCTCTGACATCTCTTTTTATTTTAATTATTTGTTGAGGGAGGGTAACTAGAAGCCAGAGCCTCACATGCAATCCGACTGGCCCAGCCCATGTTAGCGCTGGCTACGCCCTCAGCGACCCTGGCAGAGAGGTCGTAGTTCCAAGACAGCAGTGTTGCCGAGGTTAGTAGAGCTGCCGATGTCACAGCTGGGGTCACCCTGGGCTGAGAGAGGCAAAAACCTGTGCTCCAGCCACAAAGGAAGGCACTGAGCAGGGGCGACCGAGAGGGCTGTCTGGAAGCCGGATACACGGAGGGCCAGAGCTGGGGCTCAGTGCTTGGTGACCAGGGGCGTGATCATCTGCGGGAAGGCGTAGTAGCGGCAGTCGGCCGGGGGCACCAGCGCCATCACCTCTGTGCGGATGTTCTCCCGCTTGAAGCCTGCTTCCAGCAGCGCTGGCACCTGCGTCTCCTGGCAAGAGGGAGGTGCCAGGTCACCTCTGAGGGCCTTACACCACACCTCCAGGCCCACCCCTCCTTCAATAGCGTTTATGAGCACCCTGGGGCAAGGCTGGCATGTGGGAGGACCGCCCTGGGTGCCCAGGTGCGAGTGGGAACCTCCAGCTGTTCAAACGTGGGCAGCAGCTTCCTAGCAGGCCTGGGTGTCCTTGGATGCCACAACTGCGTCACCAGGAAGGTGAGATACTCAGACCCACCCACAGGGCGCCTACTGGGGGTTGTGCTCTGTGTGCCAGCGTGGCCAGCAGAGCAAAAGAAGCTCGACAGAAAGAACACACAGGCCACCAGTTCACATTGTGGAAGGAAAGCTACCTGGTTAGCCACGTGGCACCAGGCGGGCACTCAGAAGACCTCTGCAAGCTCCTAGAAGAGCAGCTTGGGGTCTCTGCACAGAGTTCTCACTTAGAAGGGCTGGCCCCTGTCGTCTCCTTGCCAGGAAGAGGGAACATTGTGGGCCCTGAGACAAGCACAGTCCCGGGGGGAGTACGGTAGTGATCTGGGGGAACGTGAGGGGGCTTGGTCTGTATCCTGAGGCACTGGGGCACCATTGCAGGTCATTGAGCTGGTGAGGGACCTTGCCTGATGTCTAAATAAAGAATCACACCACAGTCCACACACCCAAGAGATCAGCCCCTGAGGCCTGTGTGAGGGAAGGATCCTCCCCAGGCCCCAGAGCGACTCCAGCAACCCCCTCACCCCCCAGATCACTACCCAGCTTTCAGGTAGGACCTGCAGGGAGCTCTCAGGGGGGCACACCTTGAACATGGTGGTGATGTCCGAGTACTTGGACTTCATCAGCTCCCCCCAGGAGGTGAGGTTGCAGTAGGTGAGGACACCCCCGGGCTTCAGCAGGCGAAAGGCGTGGTCCTGGGGAGGCAGAGGGGACAATGGTCAGGAGGGAAGCAAGGGTATGGGCAGAGGGCCTTCCCTGTGGGCCTCCCGCATCCCAGCAGGGCAGAAGAGCCAATAGAAGGGGCAGTGCTCAGTCTGTGGACGGCCCGCGCAGGACCGTGGTGGGCAGTCCTACCTTGATGAAGTTGAACTGGTGTGTGTGCCACGTGTCCTCCGACAGTGGGTATGTGTCGTACAGGATCCCTGCACGGGAGGATGGACGCCCACCCAGTCAGGGCTGGGCTCATCCCAGAGCGGGTGAAGTGACCCCGTGTGCACCTGGCCCTCGTCTGTGTGTCCCTGCATGTCCTCACCCCCAGGCTCTGTCACCCCAAGTACACACCCGAGGGCTGTATTCTTTAGAAGGTCCCCGCACAGGCAGAGGAGGGGGCTGACAGTGGAACTGTGGGCAGAGGCCGCTGGATGTGAGCTGGAAGGCCTAGTGAATCCTGTGGTCCGCCCCCTCCCCCCCAGTTCCCAGAGTCCCCTCACCATCAAAGTGACCGTTTGGCAGGGTAGGTGCCACATCCTCCCACATGCCTTTCAAGGGGACGACCTTGGAAAGGGGAGAAAAAGAGAAGGCTGAGGGTCAGAGAGATCCCTAGGATCTCCCCACCTGTGGAAAGGGCAGAAGCAGAGGGGCCCCCAAGGGAGAAGACCACCTCCCCCATTTCTGCTCCAGGCCCTCAGCCCCCCACGGGGAGCAGGGAGTGGGGCTAATGGGGGGCCTGCGGGCAGGGGGGCACCTTGTGTGGCTGCTCCTGAGCCCAATCCTGGAGCCGCTGGAAGACCTCCTCGTTGCACTCGATGATCCAGTGCTCTTCGATGGGGGCCTCCTGCACCTTGGAGGCTGCGATGGCCATGCCGAAGCCCACCTCCAGCACCCGGCCCCCTGGGCAGACAAAGGGCGCCAGACATCACGTGGCGGGCCCCAGGCTGGGAAGGCTGCCTGGAGGAGGGGGCCCAGGGGCGGGGCCCTGGCTGTGAGGCTTGTTTGTCACAGGCACAGGTGGGCAGAGGAGGGCAGAACACAGCGGTCCTGAGAGGGAATGGCGTGGGCCCTGGCCAGCAGCCGGCCACGGAGGCCGGGGACAGCAGCCTTGGACTTTGAGTCCTGACCCTCCGTGTTTGCGCTGGCGGCCGTTATCTCTGGATTCGGTTCCTTTTCTCTCCACTGCTGGCCCTCCCCACTACAGAGTTTGCAAGCCGGGCAAGGCAGGACCTGGGTTCCAGGCCTGGGGAGCTGCAGGTCTGGAGGGGAGGGCCTGGTGCCCACCCGCCCACACGCAGAAGCCCCTCTCTATGCCACTTCCCACCTGACAAGGGATGCGCCCACTGCCCAGGTGGGAACACTGAGGCCCAGAGGCCATGCACCCCCCTTGGAGGGGCTGTTTAGGGCTGGGGAGCCCCAGGTACCCCTCAGGCTTGACACCCAGGCAGGGCAGGGCCACCTAGGGGACAGCTGTCTCCCTGCGCTCAGCTTTCCTGGAGCTATTCTTAGCCTGGGCCCGGACAGGGGTGGGGCCTCCCCACCTCCGCGCGGCCTGTGACTCCTTTGTCCTCGACCTCAGACGGGGAGCCGGCGGCTGAGTTCTGCCCAGGGTCCCGGGCTCAGGAACTGTGCCCCGACCCAGCCCGTCCTCACCCATCTCATTACCGCTGGAGAGGAAGTTTCCGGTACTTAGGGAGCGCCTACTGTGTGCAGGCCCCGTGCCTGCAGCGCTCCCCTTTCATGCCCCCCGCTGCCCCGCAGTAGCGGCCCCATTTCCCAGGCGAGGAAATAGAGGCACGGAGAGGCTCTGGCGCGCGCCAGCTGCAGACAGGGCGGGAGATGCCCCGGGTCCGAGCGCCCGCAGCCGCGGTTCGCCCCTGCGCCCCCGGCGGCGCTGCGTCCCGGCGCCGACAGGGGCTCCCACCTCTGGAGGCGGCG